AAGTGCTGGGATTTCAGACATGCCCAACTATACGTTGTTTATGTAGTGTTAGGGATCAAACCCATAGCTTTGTGTATAATAGATAAGTCCCCTACCAACTGAGTCACATCCTCTACCACTAATTCATTCTTCATTGGCCTATCATGACTCCATTTTAAATACCATTTCCCAGGCCCTCTTCAATGTGCATATTGATTGACAGTGAAGCAGGGGATGGAAGAAAGGCTACATAGCTTCAGGGTGTCCTGACCAGCTCCACAGCCTTCTTGGGCAAGTTTCTTTATCCTTCATGCTGATTTCTCCAGTATCTGTCATTAAGTACCTGCTGTCTACCAAGCACAGAGCTGAGTACTGGATGATAAAAGAGCTAGACCCCGACCCTCATCTTTCTTTTCCACCCCCATCCTTTGTCCTAAATTCTTCCAAATGTGAGCAGTGGATTCCAGACAGGTATGGCCAGGGGCAGAAAGAGAGTGCACAGGCAATTCCATCCTTCCCTTCTTCAAGCTCTGACTTCTGGAATCAAGATGCTTGGACTTTGAGAAAGCATCTTAACTTATTCCTCTATCATGATGTATTCTTAATGTATTTTTTGAAATATCTTGTCTTCTACCTATTCTTTATCTACTCAAATTTCAAGGCTCAGTTCAAGTCCTACAATCTCCAGGAAAATTTCCATTTCTCTGAACTCCTTCAGTTCAACATCATCATCATGTAACCATGTATTAAATGCACGTCCTGGTTCACTTATCGCTTTGCAAGCGTCCTACAATCTCCAGGAAAATTTCCATTTCTCTGAACTCCTTCAGTTCAATATCATCATCATGTAACCATGTATTAAATGCACGTCCTGGTTCACTTATTGCTTTGCAAGTGCAACACATGGAGATGGTTCTTGTCTGATCTGCCAGAGGCTCTAAGCTCATGGGAGACATGGACCTCATCATGCTTATCTACCATGGGCAGGGACATAGTAGGTGCCGGCTGAACACTTACTGAACAAGTGAAATTGTGGATATCTAAATGGACAGCTGTGGGAAGCTGTTCCTACTTCCCACTTCATCCCAAGTGCTCTGGTGCTGATAGTGGCTGAGCATCTATCTATTGAGCATCATTTATATACAATATTTATTTGGAGATGGAACATCAGGGGTAAAGCTGGCAACACCTCATCTAGGTGTTCATGGGGGAACATGCTATTTGTCTACAGTCTACAAAACTGGAGTTAAGACAGAAAAATGGTACACAGCAGGCACTCAATAAGTGGTTGTAGAGTAACATAGCACAAGAATGAACGTGCTATTTTGGGGTGCCAACCACTGCACCAGGTCAGTGACTTGTACAGAGCAGTTGGTTTGTAGGTATACCTTGAGTTCTACTTTTCCCTTTTTTCTCTCCTTCCTTCCTTCCTTCCTTCCTTCCTTCCTTCCTTCCTTCCTTCCTTCCTTCCTTCCTTCCTTCCTTCCTTCCTTCCTTCC